AAAACTCTCAACAACTGTCACTGGCTGCTGTGTCTTTAATATGGTGTATAAATTATTATGCGTTATAGAAAAATCAAGGAGGACACAGCAAAGAAATGTCACTTATAAATTAAAACTACTTTATTATTTTATGCAACAGCCTTACATTAAAAAGGGAAACATAAGGGCGATAAGAAGCAAAACCCCCTAGTCTAAAAGGTGTTTTATGGAATAACTTAAACTGAGCAGCTATATGTTTTTTTTTTCCCTTATTTATTTATGTGTTTATTTTGGGGCATGTACTCGTGTGTGATCCGAAAACTAGTGTAATTACGGCACGCCATCTTTACCAGACTTGGGCAATCTTCGCCTCTCCTTTCACTCCGCCCCGAAGCCCCAGCTGGCCCTCTTTAGCACAAGGTATTCAGCAGGCCAAAAAAAGGCCAGCCGCTGTCCCGATGAAGCTCTGCTTTGGCCCAATCAGGCCCCGGAAGTGACAGTGGAAATGCGACTGGGCCTGGCTTGCCCTGGCTTGCTCACTTTAGATGTGATAGTGGAAACACAGCTATTAATTCCATCAACATTTAATGGGTGACTGCTAACATTCGCCATTGCTTTATACTACAGCATTCTGCAGGAGGTATTATGCAGTCTACCTTAACACTTGGCAAATGTAACATTCAACCTACTTCGGATGGTTTGAATTTTACGCTTCCAAACACCCCCTGCATGACTTTTATAAAACTAATTAGATTTTTGGGAATCACCCAGCAACACCCCCCTTGTTTGAAGCAATTGTCATCCTGCAGCACATACTCTTCTCCATATTTCTTCTCATTGAAGTCTGATTATAGTACTTTCAGCAAATCAATGGCCATAGGCTTCTCTTTTACAATGCACAAAGGTCTTGTTTCCACACGTATACAGGTGGGGATTAGCTGACCCTATTATGCTCTAGCTTAGCATTGTCCTTTAAGTGAAAGGTTCAATTTTATTGCCTGTGACAACCAAGGTTATTGTAGTTAATGAAAACAAATGAAAAAAAGAAAACTAAAATGTAAAATAATTGTCGTTAACTGAAATAACATAAAAACAAGAGTTTTTTTTTTATTGTGTACATACAAAACTAACTGAAACTACCTAAAATTATAACAGAAACCTCCTTCGTTTTTGTATTGGTAAATGTATTTAATACATAATCTTACTGTAAGCGGTTTAAAAAAGAAGTAAATATAATTCGTGCTGCAGGTGTTTGACCCTTTCGCACCTAAAAAGCCTGTAGTCCTGCTGCCATTGGCCAGATATAGCCGGTTCTCCTCCAGTCGTTCCTCGCTGTTGCTCCTGCAACCAAAAACAACGAGTGGACATGACAGCAGCACGGTGACAGTATTAAATACAGAGACTTAAAACTATTACTTTAACACATTTGTGTTAAATAATGGGTTTTATTTCTGTATCGCGGTCACGAACAAATCTTTTTAACCGGATCCTCTAAGTAAACTAGTTGAACTAGTTCAAAACGAACTGAATCATTTGAAAAAGTTCGCATCTCCAGTAAGCACTTATCCTCCAACTACTTACTTTTTAACAAGCCTAATACCCACATCTGGCTCGAAATAATCCAATATATACTCTCATTCAGTTATTAGAACAGTTATTACACAGATTAAATTTGAGAAGTGGTGAACTGATAAAACGGGGTATGAATGATTCAGTGAACCAAACACAAACAGCACATGACAGCCTGCTGTGACTGAACTAAACTTCAACAACAGCACCACGGGTAAACCGAGGGCTTAAATGAAAGGATCTGGTGAAAACGTAAGTTTATTTCATAACAGACAATCGTAATGGAATTTAAATAAGTGAATCATGCTTCAGTTGGGTTGCAAAACTTTACTGTAAGACATTTTTTAGATCATGGTGATGGTTTAACTGACTGAAATTACTATTGCTAAATACATAATTTTGGTATGTTGAGTCCTAACATCCACGTTAAAACTTCCCATCACTACTGTGTATCTAACTTCATAGCAGCCTTGCACAAATATTGTACTTAAAGGTGCAGTAGGTGATCCTCCACAATGCTAACAGCTTAGCATAAATCTCTGAATCACAGTCCCTCCCCTGCCGTCCAAAGCCACGCCTCCTGAAACACAAGAATTACACTCATTACTAAGCTAAACTGACATGCTATTTCAGAGCAAATATTCAGAGTAGCATGTTAAACAATATAAGGAGAGTGTCACAGGTCATCACTGTTCAAAAATGAACCAATGTGTTGTGAATATAAAACCATCCTTACCTTAGTAAAGCGGGCTAGGCGGAATACGGCTATTGTGTTTTGTTGTTAAAATAAATAAAATCTACATTATCGATGCTGTAAAAGGACCTTATGAAACTGAAAATAGTCACATCAGTCTCGTATCGGAAGATTTTAGTGGCTGAACGACACTTCAGTGCAGATATAACCCATTTGTAACAACAACATCTAACATTAACGTACATCAGCATTTGCTTACAGACAGTTTGGGCTACTTATTGGATTTATAAGAGATGTCAGCCCGAAGATTAGAACTTTTTTTTATGCCTTACCCAGTATATAAAAATACATATAAACACATTTAGATCAGAACTTCTGAAAACAATGGTTTTAATCATTTGGTCGATAAAGGATCTAACATAGATGTTGTTGTTTATCCATAAATGATCTACAGTGCTCTAATTAGGATGATGCTGTTGGTGACAGATTGAAAGTGCTTATTGTATGTCTGATATCCTCAATCTGAAGATATTCATAAAGTCATTACTGCTGTGTTGAGAAATGCATGCTGATGCTTTATTTTTGCTTAGATTGGCCACTGTTTTAAACAGGGGTCCGTTCTTCATAGCTCGCTTAAATGATCTAAGATGATTTGGCAGATTCTGGATCTTTTAATCTTGATCTTTAATCTTTGATCTCTGGCTAATTTGGTTCTTCAAACAAGTTCGTGAATCAAATTACAGTGTCTGGATAAACTGATCTGAGATCTCTGCGTGTGTTGTGAAGGACAGATCTATCAATCCTCAAAATCATAATCAGCAATGCAAATATTGGCTGACGGCACAGCAGCATAATGACATCACCTGATTAATATTTATGGTAGAATAGTTTCTACCAACTCCACCTTCTTTCAAAAATTAAATCCTCTCTTCCTTTACACTCTGTAGAAACTGCCATACACGCGCTTATAACCTTCCGGTTGGACTTTTGCAACTCTCTCTATTTAGGGCTGCCTAAGTCTCAGATTGCTCGCGTACAGTTAGTGCAAAATGCAGCAGCTAGATTTTTTAACTAAAAGCCCGAAATATGCACACATCACTCCTATTCAGAGGTCTCTACATTGGCTACCGGTGACACAAAGAATCTAATTTAAAATCCTTCTCTTTGTGTATAAAGCCCTGCATGGTCTTGGCCCTCATTATTTATCCCAACTGATTGTTAACTACACTCCTCAAAGACACTTGCGTTCCGCTGATCAGTTTTTTATTAATAGTTCCAAAGTCCCACCTCAAAAGTAGGGGTGAACGTGCTTTTGCCATAGCAGGTCCTCGCCTCTGGAACTCTCTGCCATTAGAGCTAAAAAAGGCTTCGTCGCTGCCTGTTTTTAAGTCCAAATTAAAGAGGCAACTATTTTCTTGGTCTTTTTGAAGCATAAGTCCTTCCCTTTCAGAAGGTGAGGGGGGGGCTGTTGGGAGTGGGGAGGGGGATCAAAACGGTCATGTTCTCTATCGTGTTTAGTGTTGGTCAACTGTGGTAGCATCTTTTAATTAGGAAAAAATACTTTATTATTATTATTATTATTACTATTTTTTTATTTAAATTTTTGCTCTTTTATTGATAATTTTTCTATGTTCCTTCCTATTATGTGCTTATTGCTGCTTTTACTGTTTATTTTCTCTCTGTAAAGCCCTTTGTGCCGCCCTGTGGCAGTTGGAAACATGCTATATAAATAAATTGAACTTGAACTAATATTCAATTATCCATGTGAGCAAAATTAAATAAAATTAGCAGTAAACGGTTTGTTAAATATGATATGCAATAACTTACACCTTGTTGAGGGCTGCATGCTTGGCCCTTTCATGTGTCAAGAGCAGTTTATTCAGTTTTACAGTTAGAGTGGATTTTCCTTATTAAAGTAGCCGTTTTTTTGTTAATTGGTGTAAAGAATAACTGGTTGTTTACAAAAGCATTTTGATATTGGTAAAGGCATCTGCAACTTTCATGAAGCATCAAATCACCGTCATATTAACTGTCAAAGCATGTTTATGACTGCATACATGTATTATTGCTTTTAAAAAGTCACATATTGTGCATTTGTATTATCATACATAAGTTGTACTAAAGCTATCTAAAATTTTATATCAATAAGTTTTCTTTTTGCACCACCAGGTGGCAGTCTTTGTACTTTCATTTCGGGGGTGCAGATTGCATAAGTTTTATTAATACATATATTTTTAACTTTATATATATATATATATATATATATATATATATATATATATATATATATATATATATATATATATATATATATATATATATATATATAGTTAAACAATATATTCACTATTTTACCAAGTGTATATAACTACTACTGTAAGAGAATATCAGCATTTGGTCCATACTTTCAGTATTATCATTGCTTGAACTGAACCGATGAATATATTTATATACCCGATATATATATATATCATACATATACTTTTACACACACACACACATATATATATATATATATATATATATATATATATATATATATATATATATATATATATATATATATATATATATATGTGTGTGTGTGTGTGTGTGTGTGTGTGTTTGTGTGTGTGTGTAAAAGACAACTTTGTTTTTGTCACTAAACTGTAAAAATAAAATACTGTATGATGTATGTAGCACAATACTGTTTAGAACTTAAGAAAACAATGTAAAGGTAATGTTAATCAATATTTCTCTTATGTTTGTATTAATGCAGCGAGACCAAAGCCTGTAGTGAAGGTGAGTCCAGATCAGCATGTGTTCATTGGAGAGACAGTCACTCTCACATGTGACATACAGACAGGAGGAAACATTCAGTGGATCGGATACAGCTGGATTAAAGATGGAGACACTCACAATCCACACAGAACAACATCAGCAGCAGAGTTGAGTTTCAGAGCTGTTTCTGCGTCTGTCAGTGGTCAATACAGCTGTAGAGGAGAGAGATCAGACTCACAGAGATCAGACATCAGTGATACTCTTACACTGACTGTATCAGGTGAAGCTTCATTTAAAATCATTATTTGTGACACAAAATTGTTATTATGCTGTTTTTATATCAGCCTCTTCAATTAAGAAGGATAAAACAATTCAGTTTTAGATTTCTCTGTGCATGACACACTGTACAACTTAAGAAATCCATCGACTCCGGGAGTCTCATATAATGTGTTTTTTTATTCAATCAGAAATGCAATCTAACCTATATTTGCACAGCATCTTTATCCCATACACCTTGAAGCGACTCACAAAACCCTACAGCACAATAAAAACTTATTAACAAATAAAAATAGCATGTTTCATAATTCAAACTTGGACATATCAAATTGCATAAATGAGATAAATAATTTTAACATACAGTTCAGTTAAAACTGCTGCCTATTATAACTGAAATGACCTAAATTATTATGAAATGATCAGCAGTGTAACAATATATATACAGTGAATGCTGTTATTCAGACTTTTTCACTGTGGAAACAGTACAACAAATTCCTGAGTAAAACTAAATTTAGCTGGTGTTTGTCTGAGAACTTGAGGGAGCCAGAAAACTATTGACAACACACAAGAAAAATAAAAAGCACATTATGAAATATGAGATAAGATTTATATAGTATTTAATTTACAGATTTAACAATTTTCACTGAAATAAGTTTGAGCCACTTTATGTTTTTGTGTTTTTTTTTTCTCAGCTTTACCCAGATCTAGAGTGACTGTGACACCAGACAGTGCTGTATTCACTGAAGAGACAGTCAATCTGACGTGTGTGATTGAGTCTGATCACAGTGACTGGACATATGAGTGGTATAAAGACAGAAACAGTGTAAATTTACAGTCTGATGGTCGTTACACTGTAAACAGAGACACTCTCACTATCAGAGGAGCTGCTGAATCTGATCAGGGTCAGTACTGGTGTAGAGGACAGAGATCTGGAAGACCAAACTCATCACAATCAAGCTCTGCTGTTTCTCTCTCAGTGAAGGGTGAGTTCAATATCATTGTCTTCCTTGGACATGTAAGTATCAAAACAGTTAACCTCTGTTTATCTCTCAGTAAAGGGTAAGTATCTCAGTAAATACTGTGCTGTTACTGCTGTAAGGTGATCAACAAATTATCAAATATAAAAATCTGCTTTACATTAAATTTTACAGTACATTTTGGATAATTGCAATCCTAAACTTATTTAATAAGGTTATTTTTAATAATATTAAAAATGTTGTTTAATGAAATTATATTGCTTTACGTTGTTTTTGTTTTTCGTAGGATTTGAGCTTGTGGATGTATTTATTTTTTTTGTGAGGAATTTCCAAAATACATTTTTCACTTTTGTCTTGCTTCACAGCCTTACCCATGCCTACATTGCATGCGAGACCAGGCAATCCTGTATTTACTGGAGAGCCAGTCAATCTGAAGTGTGTGATTGAGTCTGGTCACAGTGACTGGACATATGAGTGGTATAAAAACAGAAACAGTGTAAAGATACAGTCATCTTCTCGTCAAACTGTAAACAGAGACACTCTCACAATCAGAGGAGCTGCTGAGTCTGATCAGGGTCAGTACCAGTGTAAAGGACAGAGATCTGGAAGACCAAACTCATCACAATCAAGCTCTGCTGTTTCTCTCTCAGTGATGCGTGAGTTCAATACTATTATCTTCCTACACTCTACAGTTATTGAATTCAGCACAATACTGTATATACTCTATTCTGATTATTATTATTAATTGTAGATTAAAATCAAAATGTATTTTAGGTTATATAATACAGATATTTGCTGATGTATCCAATGCAACCACAAACAAACTAGATGTTTTATTTAATGCAGTATTTATCTCATAAGAGTTTTTTTAGTTCAGTAATCCCGATACTTAGATGCTGTTTTCATCAATATTTCCTCATGTGTGGATTAATGCAGCGAGACCGAAGCCTGTAGTGAAGGTGAGTCCAGATCAGCGAGTGTTCACTGGAGAGACAGTCACTCTCACATGTGTCATACAGACAAGGGAAAACATTGAGTGGGTCAAATACAGCTGGATTAAAGATGGAGACACTAACAATCCACACAGAACAACATCAGCAGCAGAGTTGAGTTTCAGAGCTGTTTCTGCGTCTGTCAGTGGTCAATACAGCTGTAGAGGAGAGAGATCAGACTCACAGAGATCAGACATCAGTGATGCTGTTACACTGGCTGTATTGGGTGAGGCTTTTTATCACATTTACAATCAATATTTTTGATTAAGTGTAATAACTTTCACTGTGCTCTTCTGAATGAGCCATGTGTTTTTTAAAAGAAATGTAGTGCATCTTTAATCCTCTGGTGTTCCTCATTTGTTAATCATAATTGTGGTTTTCGTGGCCAAAAGGAGACGAACACCCCTCTCTTTTTTAATAAAATCATTTACATATATTTTTTGTTTAATAATATATTTTTATATTATTTAGAATTTTGATAAGGTTTTGTGGTATTAATCAATATGTATGCATTAACTAACATCTATTTTCATTTATTTATTTTTTTTCTAGTGACGTTCTTGCTGTTAGTCAACAGTACTAACCACTGAGCCACCATGTCACCCTAACATTTATTTTTCGTAATTGAGAAAAATATTTTTTTTTGTAATTTCTAAATGTCTTTACGTTTCACTATCAGTAAGCTTGGTGAAAATATACTCACATGAAAGGCTCCTTACGATCAATTCTACATTGTAGAAATAAAGCAGTAGCTTCCCTAAAAACGTTAGATGAGAATGAATGACCGCACAAAACTAAAACAGAGAAATGTTTTGAAATGTAATAACAAGTGTGTGAGTTAGATAGTTGCTTTGAGTCACTGTCTTTATTCTGTTCTCCACAGCTTTACCCACACCTACAGTTACTATGACAGAGATGATCATTCTGAAGTGTGTGATTGAGACTGGTCACAGTGACTGGAAGTATGAGTGGTATAAAGACCGAAACGGAGTCAAGTTACAGTCGTCTAATCGTCACATTGTAAACCGAGACACTCTCACTATCAGAGGAGTTAAGCCTGATGAGAGTTTCTATGAGTGTAAAGGACTCATAGATGGAAGATCAGTCTCTATACAATCAACATCTTTTTTCATTGTCAAACGTGAGTTGAATATTATTGACTTTCTGAATATTTAATTTGTTACTTTATTTTGCTTCAGATCCATTAACAGGGCATTGTACTTCACATCTTTTAATGTACTTCTAAAAGAATCATACTTGCAGTGCATTTATTGTGTATTGCCAAAGCTCTTCATAATCTTATGAGGGAGTCTCTCCAGACCACCACCAGTTTGAGCATGAAATTGAAAATAGTCAAACCTTTTTATTTTACTAAACTTTTATCAGTGGCTGAAAAACACTAGCTCTGCATAAAGCCCATTCAATGGATGGGGATGATTAGGAAGCCATGATAGGTAATGGCCAATGGAGGGGTTACATCCCTAACCTTTAGTGTGTCTTGGCAAGTAAGGTTTTACCTGTACTTGAAACTGGTCCTCTGCTTTTAACTCATCTAAGTGCGCGCACACATTTTGAGTAAGAAGTGAGAGCGCATACACAGTGAGCGTTGGACTTCTAATTTCCAGCGATTGGGACATGGGTGTAGTATTAGCATGGTCGAAGGGGATGTTTCCCCACCAGTATCCACCGATTATTAAAATGTCCCCACCAAAAATTTAATTGCTTATCAATAAATTATTTTTATGTAAATAATGCTAAATAAAGTCATCTTTAATGTCTCATCCAAAAGAAGATGCTCACTGACAGTCCCCATCACTATACTGAGGCATTAGGACCAACACTAGGGATGGCTGAAGTGACACTGATGTTTGGACAGTGTCGAGATTCTGAAGTGCAAGTTTTTGGAAACACTGCGCTGAAGCATGATCCGAAACACCCAGGTCACATGTCTAAACTGGTTTGAAACACCCAAGTCACTTCTAAAGTGTTTCGAAACACCCAGGTCACATGTCTAAAGTGTTTCGAAACAACCAGGTCACGTGACAAAAGTGTTTTGAAACAACCAGGTCACATGTCTAAAGTGTTTCGAAACAACCAGGGGTCAGTTCTTCGTACGTGGATTACTCAGTTAGCTGGATTTGGATATTGACGATTTGACACGATCCAGGATCGTTTCGTTCTTCAAAGCTGATCCGAGAGTTGTTGTCATGGCAACAGATCTGCTAGGTCAAACCTGATCGGGAGCAGGTTCAAATCATATAAACAGGATTAGATCGGCTCAGTTCAAGCAAAGATAATACAGAAAGTATGTACCGAGTTCTGATATTTTCTTACAGTAAAAGTTATATACACTTGGGAAAATAGTAGTTTTTAACTATATATTTAAAGTTATAGTCATTAATAAAATGAATAAAGTTTTACATATTAATAAAACGTATGCAATCTGCACCCTCGAAATGAAAGTACAAAGACTGCCACCTGGTGGTGCAAAGAGAAAACTTATTGATATGAACTTTTTAGATCGCTTTAGTACAAATTGTGTATAATAGAAATGCACAATATGTGACTTTTTAAAAGCAATAATACATTTATGCAGTCATAAACATGTTTTGACAGTTTATATGCCAGTGATTTGATGCTTCACGAAAGTTGCAGACGCCTTTACCAATATCAAAATGCTTTTGTAAACAACCAGTTATTCTTTACACCGATTAAAAACTGTACTATAATAAAGAAAATCTTTTCTAAATGTAGAACTAAATACACTGATTTGCATTGAAATACATGATGAATACTCTTGTCTTGACAAATGAAAGTGTAAAGCCTGCAGCTCACAACAAATGTGAAGTTACTGCGTGTCTTATTTAACAAGCCGTTTACTGCTAATTTGATGTAATTTTGCTCACATGGATAATTGAATATTAATCAGATGATGTCATTACGCTGCTGTGCCGTCAGCCAATCGTTGCATTGCTGATCATGATTTCGAGGATCGATAGATCTGTCCTTAACAACAAACGCAGCGATCTCAGATCAGTTCATCCAGACATTCTAATCTGATTCGCGAACTTGTTTGAAGAACCAAATAAGCGAGAGATCAGTTATCAAGATTAAAAGATTCAGGATCTGCCAAATCATCTTAGATCATTTAAGCGAGGTACGAAGAACGGACCCCAGGTCACGTGACAAAAGTGTTTTGAAACAACCAGGTCACATGTCTAAAGTGTTTCGAAACACCCAGGTCACTTCTAAAGTGTTCTGAAACAACCAGGTCATGTGACTAAAGTGTTTTAAAACACCCAGGTCACTTCTACAGTGTTTTGAAACACCCAGGTCACTTCTACAGTGTTTTGAAACACCCAGGTCACTTCTACAGTGTTCTGAAACAACCACGTCATGTGACTAAAGTGTTTTGAAACACCAGATGATGTGACTAGAGCGATTCAAAACATCTGTCATTTCAGAAGCATTTTAAGACCTGGCAAATCTGTGTTTGACTGACAGGGTCAAAATAAAATCTCATGTAGCCAGTGGACCATGCCTGCGCACAGAATTATGACTGAAATTACGATGTGTTGTAAAGATGTTACTTTTTATGACCAAAACAAAACATATTTATTCAAAGTGTTCATTCTGGTGTCAGACTAATGTTAAAACATAACATGTTATAAAAACAGACTCAACAGAGCATTTAAAAACTAACTTTACTATTGATTCAAACCCATTTTCTCTGCAAGCTAGTCAGGAACACTTGCCGCTTCACTAAATCACTTGAAACCTCAATTCTACAACATAACACATCCATTTGCTAACTGATTCTTTGCTGAAGCTGTTTCAGTGCAATACATAAAAATGACCACTAGGTTACTGTAGATGGGTTTCAAACATTTTGAAGCTTTGACATTTTCTTTGACTGTTTCAGTGTTTCATTGAGCCTCACTTTGCAGTGCACAGCACTAAAGCCTGGTTTATACTTCTGTGTTCTGTGTTGAGTGATCGACGTGACCCACAGTGCCTGCCTTACGCGTAGTAGTGCATTTATACTTCTGCATGCTGTTTGTGTTGCTCTGCAATAATATTTTCAAAACGCTAGCTGGCAGTAGGTGTTTGTTTTTTTGTGTCAAGTTTCTTCGCTGGCGTTTTGTTTTTTCTGAACACTACCTTAACGTACAAGTAGCTAAAACTTGCTCATTTTGAGGCAGGAACCGGTGGACGTGCAGCAACTTTAATCATAAGGTAAACACAAAACATCAGTCTCCATCTGGAGCTCCTCTTTAGGACTCGACACTTGTAAACACTCACTCCAGTGGGTTCATGTGGCTGTCCGTCCTGCCCACACTCGTCAGCGCAACCTAGCTGACCAATCACAGAGCTTGCGCTACGCGTCGTTGCAACATGTAGTTGCAATTTTTGAGAGGTGCAAGTCAGTGTCAGCGACGGCGGGGGCTATGCGACCACACGCAGGCTGCGCTGGAGCATACGCGTTTGCTTGACGCAGAAGTACAAATCAGCCTTAACCCACACATACCACAGGCTGAGTGCCCCCTGCTGGCCATACTAACACAACTTCCAAAAGCAACTTATAGACCAATTACCAACGGGTCCCCGGTTGCAAAAAAAGACAGGCTGCAATAGTAAACATGTCATGTTGTGCGGCATGATGCCAAATTCAAAAGTCCACAAAATGAAAACATAACTTAAATGTCATGTCATTACTGTGATGATTTTTTGGGCACTATACACCTGCCAAAAATAATATCTAAAATAGATCTATCA